GTCAATGTTTAGTTTTCTTGGTTAATGTTAAGTTTATGTGACAGTTGTAATAAAGCTTTATATTTAGGACTATCAACATAATATCAATGATTAGTAAAGAAGGCGAGACATTTCAGCGTGTGCACTCTTGTTTCTAATATTAAAAAAACATAAAGATTTCATTCAACATTTCATTCTGAAGAAATTTAATTTGATTTGTCGGTTTGGCCTTGTGAGTTCCTTAAGTACATCTTTTCTGGTAACATTTAGAAAATCTTGTAGGGTTGAAATGTATTGATGGCTCAGATAGTTAGTTATTAGCTTTACAAAAATTTGTAAGGGGTTCCATGGAACCCTAGGTCTTGCCTGCGATACCTGCTGTCAGTGTAAAAGTGTAATGTTGACTTGAAAAGTGAGTCAATTCATCAGTAAAATACAGAATTTAAAAAAAAAATCAAATCTGTCTTTAGATGCTATTTCTTGGTCTTGAAGATTAGCTTCTGTCCAAGTTTCATAACAATTCATGAAGATATACAAATTTATCATGTCAAAACAATTTAATCCCAGACTGTCTGTAAATGTTAACTGTAACAAGCATTCTGTGAGTATTGCATGGCAATACATAGTCCCCTACCAGTTAAAAATTCATTGTACTGGAACAAAATGCTAACTTGATCTATAACTTATCTTGGTGTAAATTTTATAACAAATATCAAGTCAATATCTTCAAGCATGACAAAAAAAGTGTGGAAAAATGATTTTTTGAGTGAATTTTCTAAGCCCAAGGACCATAACTCTGCACAAAATAATCAGACCGGAACAAAATTCGAACTTGATCTGTAACTTGTCATGACAAAACTATATACCAATTATCAAATCAATATCTTCAAGCATGACGAAAAAGGTGTGGAAAACTGATTATTTTAGTGAATTTTTTTAAGTCCAAGGACCATAACTCTGCACAAAAACATCGGACCAGAACAAAATTTGAACTTGATCTGTAACTTGTCATGATAAAACTATAAACCAATTGTCAAATCAATATCTTCAAGCACGAAGGAAAAAAGTGTGGAAAACTGATTTGCCAGACTGACGGATGGACAGACAGACAGACGGACGGACAGAATGCAAACCTAAAGTCCCCTTCGACTTCGTCGTCGGTAGGGGACTAAAAAACAAAGTCCATCTATCAGGAAAATACTAAAAAGGAAAAAAATATTTTGAAGACATTATTTCTTAATCATCTTAAAAGCTTCTGCCAAATTTTCATAAAACTCTATGAAGGTTTGACAAAGCAATTGATGTGTAACAAACTTTAACCCAAGACTGTATCTACTTGTTAACTTTAAAAAAGTCCATTAATGAGTAAAATACGGAAAAATGAAAATAGATATTTTCAAATTTTGCTCTGGATACTGTATTTTGGTCATAAATAAGCTTCTATCCAAATTTCATAAAATTCCATGTAGGTTTTACAAAGTTATTGCTGTCTAAAAAAATTTAACCACAGACTGAACCTAAATGTTGACGCTGCTGCCTCCGCGGACGACAGAATGTAGGATCGCTATGTCTAGCTTTTGCATAATAAATTTCGTATGCTCAACAAAAATGTGGTTTGTAAATAAGTATGAAATGAAAAATCAATTGAAACAGTTTAATTGGATAATTTATATTGTTATCTGTAAATCATTAACAAAAATAGGGTTTTTTCAAAGTAATAAGAAATTATGTGGAACAAAATGAATGAATTATTTGATTGAAATTATTCAAACTTTTAAAGTAGAAATAATATTGATAGATGAACAAAAGGAAATGATATTTATTTTTTCCAAAAGAATCAGTGCAGGTATATATATATATATAAATAGTAGGTCTATTGGGAGACAATATAGAAATTTACTACAATATTGATTACATAATCAAATATGAAAGACTTTAAAGGTCTTTGATTTTTTAATGGTTATAATTTGCCATGTTTGATTTAGTTGTGTTCCTAGTAATTTATTAAATTTGTTAAATAAATGAATGGATTTCATCATAATATTAGTAACATTATAAGCATTTATTATTTAATGTGTTTGTTAATGTATAATTCAAGTTGAAAAGCATTTGTATAAAAATAAGTTAAATTTCTGATACGTACATATTCTTGTCTTTTATTTATAGCCAATATTTGTATAGTGCCTGATTTGTTACTGTAAAAAACAATATTTTGAGAAAATACAGTACTTAATCGATCTAAACAATTTGGTAAGAATGCAAGTGGCTCAGGGCTTCCAAAAAATATTTGAGAGCCAGCTGGACATTTTTTGTCTTATCCCGATTTCAATCCCTTAAGACTTAGTAACAAAAGGCAAGTATTTTAATCAGTTGGGCTTCAGATAAACAATGATTGACACAAAAACGATTTTAAACTTTTGATATAAATTGGATGTTCTGACGTAAATTTAGTGGCTTTAATTTTGGGGTGTTGTAGTTGGACTTAATTTTTTTTTTAGGGGAAGTGTTATTGTTCAACGCTGATATGATTATTAAAAAAAAATATATATTATGAGTGTGTTTGAAAAATAGTGGGAAAGTTAACTCCTTTAATTTTCAGAAACTTAATGTATTGTTTAATTATTTATAAACGTAGTCTAGACTTACCTTCTATATAAAGTTTTACAATTAACTTCCAACTACTGAACTGTTACACCTACCAAGAAACAAAAAAGTAACATCAAATAGCGTATTATTATAAGATGGATTGCACTATATAATTACATTTTGTTAAAATTGGGGTAAAAATTTTGTAAATAGTCCACGTATGCGGACAATATGTAATCATCGGATGTCAATGGAATATTGTATACCAAAAGAAGAAGACGTGTTATGTTGAGTACCCGATTGTTTACAAATAATAATGTCACGTGATTAGTCAATGACGTCAGATTCTATAGTGTTCATCGTCCGCCATCTTTTTATACTTTATGTTCTTACAGACATGCATAAAGCCATTTATCTTGCATAATCTTAAACAGAAATTATGACATGCAAAATATATGTGCACGATTACACATTTAATACCAAGATATTGCATATACAGTTAATTCAGAAATTATGGTCATCAGATAAATCAGATTAACACCTGTGACTCAAATTGACTGTCCATTATTGGCATTAACATTGTTTATATGATCTATAAAATGGGATTAAATTGACTTCAAGAAGGTCTATAGAACCTAAATACAATACAAATCAATCATAAATAATGCTTACCGAAATTTATAAAAACTAAAACGTTATATTCTCTATTAAAGTCATGATGATCATTGAAATGTCAAAGATTATTTTTTCAATTTTGGCGAGAGAGATTCTTACACACTATTGCTTTTCATAACAAAATTTGTATAGAATTTCATTAAACTATATCTCAGCGTTAATAAATATGCATATGCAGACGCATGACATACGTTTATGACATATCTTTCGTATATATCTTTGTAAAAGAATAGTATATTACATTAACAGTATACTTCACTCAGAATTACATTTGAGCGCAGGAAAATTTCTGTTTGTGAGGCGGCTGAATCTTTGGGGTTGAAGTTCAACCAATCAGCGGAATTTTTGTGTTACATAACAAGATTTGTATCGAATTTCATTAAAACTATATTTCAGCGTAAATAAATATAAACATGCAAAAGCATGACATACGTTTTGTATATATCTTTGTAAAAGATAAAGCTATTACTTATTAAATCCGCCTCTGCTTAAACACTTTAACAGTATACTTTACCTAGAACTACATTTAGGTGGATGAAATATTTTTGTGAGAGGCGGCTGAATCTTTGGGATCGTTACAGTAGTTCAACCAATCAGCAGAATTTTTTAATTTTCGACATATCTATTTTTAATGCAGTTTGGAAAGAATAGAAAATTTTATTTTAAGTCGGGTTTACATGAAACATTACAAACATAAGCTCTGTAGAGCTTTTTGCCGACATGAATAACAATAACAACACATACAATATTAAGACATATAAAACATGCACAAAAGCAGAGACATATATATGTATATATATGTCTCTGTACAAAGTAAGACAGCTATATTGCATAAGCAAACTGTTCATATATAATAGCATAGCACAAACTAGCAAAGCACTAAACTAGATTATAAACGCATGCATATATATTTGAACCGAAATTATAGAAAAATGGAATGCTGTAGAAAGATATAAGACAGTGAATGATAAACTCTTTTAGCAAAAGATGGATTGAATTGGGGTTCTGTGTATTCACATTATTTGTATAACTCTCCTTACTCTTGGAAATTATGGAGGGATTTTGCGACCCAAATGGTTCACCACAATTAATATTTTTATATATTATAAGTTTAATAACAATTCTAGATTCTTCAACATTTTAACTTCTTGATTGTCCCACATATTTTTTTAACTTTTTTACCTGTGATTTTAAACAGTGGGACAATCTTGAAGACACAGTTGAATTAGTGGCACAAAGTTCCTATTAAAATCTAATTGAAATCACATTATCATGTTTTTCTCTGCTATTACTGGAAAATTGTAACTAAACTTTGTTATGGAGGGTTGTCCACAACTGATTCTTATTTGGTATTAATGATCAAAGAAAATCAGTGCAACAAAAGGCACTCTTTTGTTCTGATTTGTCATATTTTCAAAAAATCTTATCCCTGAATCAACATGGCAAAATATTTTAAAACTTTTAAATAGGTGTTTAATGAAAAAAAGTCACCCAAGGCTTATGCTAGAATTTATATTCTCTTGTTAAAATGAAAATCTTTCAAGAGCATTAGTCAATATTAAATATAGATACCTTGTGACTGAGTAAACCAGGTTCCTTGAAGCCAGTATGTCAAATTTATAATATAAACATTTTGATGCTAAAAACCTATCCTTTTAGAATAGAATATAGTGAAAATAAATCTAGACAGCTACCCAGTATGATTAGAAATGTCTCTGTCACTTTGGCAATGATAAACGTGTAATATATTTTAATTTCAGGGATTATGATGATTAGTGCCTGGATATTATGTGCCAGTATTGGCGTTGTTGTAGCAAGATATTATAAACCAGTCTGGTTAGAGGAAAAGTTACTTGGGGAAAAGGTTTGGTTCACGGTAAGATAGAAACGTACCAATAGAATAAATATGCCAACTCATCATCTTATAATGAATGTATAACATAGAACATTCCATCAATATTATCATAGATAGAAATCACATGTGAGGTGATTTTAATTTTGCATTGTAATGATTTAAATTTACATATATTTCTCGGTTTGCATTTTAAATCATTTTGCAGCCTGTTAATTATCAAAATGTAACAGTTAAGGCAATTACTCACAGTAATCTCCGTAATAGGTAGTTTTAAGATATAAGTCAATGATCAGCTAGATAGAGGTAATAATTAAAATGAATATCAGTCTCATTATTCCTGAAATTTATCAAGGCTGTGATTTAATCATGGTATAATGTGCAGCTTCTTGAATCTTGTATTTTAATATTTTGTTTCCATTTCTTTGGAACATGAAGTTATTTCTTAATGTCAGTCTTAGGTATTGGGGTGAATGTTGAGGTTCAGGGCCAGGAATTATTAATAAATGTTCAGTGACCATCAGAGAAACAGCTTGGGGCATTTAAACATTTTTTTGTGAGGCATACCATCTGCCTGTGTGGTTTTTAAAATTAAAATGGGAGTTTTGTAGTGAATAACATAGCAATTAACATGAATTGAACTAGAATTTCACCATACTGATCTGTAATTGTGTATGTCCTGCTAGTCAATTCACCATACAGACCTGTAATGGTGTATGTCAATTCACCATACAGACCTGTAATGGTGTATATCCTGCTAGTCAATTCACCATACAGACCTGTAATGGTGTATGTCCTGATAGTCAATTCACCATACAGACCTGTAATTGTGTATATCCTGATAGTCAATTCACCATACAGACCTGTAATTGTGTATGTCCTGCTAGTCAGCTCACCATACAGACCTGTAATTGTGTATGTCCTGATAGTCAATTCACCATACAGACCTGTAATGGTGTATGTCAATTCACCATACAGACCTGTAATGGTGTATATCCTGCTAGTCAATTCACCATACAGACCTGTAATGGTGTATGTCCTGCTAGTCAATTCACCATACAGACCTGTAATAGTGTATGTCCTGCTAGTCAGTTCACCATACAGACATGTAATGGTGTATGTCCTGCTAGTCAATTCACCATACAGACCTGTGATTGTGTATATCCTGTTAGTCAATTCACCATACAGACCTGTAATTGTGTATGTCCTGCTAGTCAATTCACCATACAGACCTGTGATTGTGTATATCCTGTTAGTCAATTCACCATACAGACCTGTTATTGTGTATGTCCTGCTAGTCAATTCACCATACAGACCTGTAATTGTGTATATCCTGTTAGTCAATTCACCATACAGACCTATAATTGTGTATATCCTGTTAGTCAATTCACCATACAGACCTTTAATTGTGTATATCCTGTTAGTCAATTCACCATACAGACCTTTAATTGTGTATATCCTGCTATTCATTTTATCTAATGTTATATTGTTTTCAGTTACACAGGGGTGTAATGGTTTTAGCTGTATTATTCTGTATTGCTGGATTTACCATCATTTTTGTGGATAGAGGAACATTCCAGGAGGTATTCATTCATTTATTTTTAAGAAAACTATCTATGAATAAAGTTGTTATATGTGCTGTAGAAAAATTTGCTGCATGAATCATAAATCATAAATATGCAGGCCAGTAATAATTACAATGTAATAGTAAAAAAAAAGTCAAATTTTTTCATATAAAGTATGATGATGATTTAAATTTTTATGGCCCCGCAACAAAGTTGCCTTCACATATTGAGCTGATTTTTAGTATGTGAGTTAACTATAATGAGTTACAGATCAAGTCTACATTTGATTCCACTCTGCTGATTTTTGCTGAAATTACAGGCTTTGGACTTTGAAAATTTCATGAAAATAGCAGTTATACAGACTTTTTTTCTTAACACCCTCACATATTGAGCTGATTTTTAGTATGATAAGAAACAGATTGAGTTTACGTCTGGTTCCACTCCACTGATTTGTGCCGAAATATCAGGTTTTGGACTTTAAAAATTAAATGAAGAAAATAACAGTTGTACAGACTTTCATTCTCAAATTTCCACTCCTGAAAATGGTTTCAAGTTTTTTTTTACGAGCTGGGTCATTCGTGTTGTTCCGACACATCTAGTTTTTATTTTTTTTAATTCATATACAAACATTTTGATCCAAAATATAGCTAGAAGCTGCATCTTTAGCAACTTATGTATGGATAATATCTATTTTCAGATAGAGTCTGATTCAGATTTCAAGAAAGCTCATCCATTCATTGGTATTATAGTCATGTGTTTGGCAGTGATTCAGGTATATCATTAGAGTAAAGCTACATTTATATACCAGTAATATAAACATATGCATTTTTTTTTATGTAAATTGTACCTTAAACTAAATACAAAACATAATAGTTTAAAAAAAAATCAGTTAACCTGTTTCAGAAATTATATCAGTAGCTCAGAAGCAGTAAATAGTCTTATGCTTATGCAGTAAAAAAGAAGAACACAATATAATATTAGAGAAAATCCTACTGAACTTGCATAAAAATTAGTTTACAAATTTACATAAACAGATTATCATATTTACATATTACATAATAACCTAAATATTGTTATTTCTGTTTTTCAGCCTGTGATGGCGGTTTTTCGACCACACCCAGGAGATAACAACAGATTTATATTTAATTGGGCTCATTGGGGAGTAGGCATTGTCTCACATTTTCTGGGAGGTAATACATATTCTAATACAATCTTTATGTAACAATTTTTCAGTGGCTAAATATTACCGTCAAATACACAATTGACATGTCTGGAGCTGCCATATTAAATTGATGGAATCCACAAATGTTTGATAATATAACATAACATAATCGAAAGTATAACTTCACCTACCTTAAAAACACTGTTTTAATGAGATATTATCCAAATTGGAATGACATTAAGTTTTGCCATGACATTTATGCTCCAAAATCATTCATGAAGTTTTGCAAATTTTATTTTATCTTAAATTTTTACATTTTTACAAGCTCTAATGTATGATTTCTTTTTGTAATTCATTAGAATGGGAATAACAGTACTATTGTCTTCTCTACAGGTCTCCAGTCAAACTGCATTTGTAACCATCAAATTGCTAATTGACAGAGGCAGCTCTTGAACTACAGAACTGTTATTCCCATTCTAATGCATTACAAAAAGAACTGTTATTCCTTAATTTACATATATCGAAAATCATTGGGCAGTTGTTATTGTCTTACATCTGTTTGCAGGTTACACATATTTACATATTTCTGAAGTCATTGGTTGTGACTTGTGAGAGTTTATGTTCAACATAAAAAACTTATCTTGTTTTTAGCTCACATGACCTGATCCAAAGGGTCAAGTGAGCTATTCTCATCACTTGGTATTATTGTCTGTGGTTTCTTCATTGTCCGTTAACTATTACAAAAATATTCTCCGTTGAAACTACTGGGTCAATTGGGCCCAAACTTAGTCACAGTCATCATTGGGTATGTAGTTTTAAAAATGTGTCTGATGATCCTGCCTTCCGACCAGCATGGGAGACATGGCTAAAAATAGAATATGGGGGGCAAAGAAAGAAAGAAATAATCATATGAGGGAAATTCTGATAGTGGCAGAAGTGTTGACAATGTTTAGATCAATCTGCTGTCCATTTACATCAAAACTGTCAGATTATTCCTTATAGGAGTTTTTGCCCTTAAATGAAGATTTTTTTACCAACTTTTTAGTATATTTGCTTATTATCTTGAAAACTATAATAGATAGAGAAAAACTTTTAATTACAACAATGGTCAGCAGGACAAGATCTTCAAACTTATTTATATCGCTGATATCGTCAGTGTAATCTTTATAGGAGTTTTTGCCCCTAAATGACAATTTTTACCAATTTTTGCATTTTAGACCAAAAAATATAGAAGATAAAGAAAACCTGTATACATGAAAAATGATCAACATAACAAGATCTACAAATTTGGCAAGAAGCCGAAATTGTAATTTGACTACTTGTAGAAATTATTGCCCTTTAATGATGATTTTTACCCATTTTTTCATATCACGCAAGGACTATAATAGATAAACTGTAAATAGCAAAAGTTATGATCAAGACAAGATGTACAAATTAGTCAACACTGAAAAAATTATAATTTGACTCCTTTTACAATTTACTGACCTTAAATGACGATTTTTACCCTTTTTTATCAGTTTGGCAAAATTTTTAGAAGATAAAGAGAAACTGTTAACAGCAAATATGATCAGCTAGACTTGATCTACAAATAGGTCAACAAAGCCAAAGCTCAAAGTCTATGTCTTGTAAAAGTTATTGCCCTTGATTGACTATTTTTAACCCTTTTTATTTTGGGCAAAAATTCTAGTAAATAGAGAAAATGAAAACAGAAATATCATCAGCTAAACCAGATCAACAAAAAAGAGATTTTAGTCACAAATTATATTCTTGTCTTGAATATTGGAGAGTGGCCATTGTTGAAAGTGAACATAGATCCAGGAGACCAACACAAGCTCTTTAGAGTCTTTTGTTTCTAAGTTTTAAAGCTAAAATTGTGGCACACAGAATGAAAAAACTTTATTATTGTAACTTCATGCTTTATTTGATATTTTTTTCAGTACTGAACATTTTAATTGGAGTATTATTAGATGCAATGCAGATGCCGATATGGGTGGTATATGTTGTGGTAGCTTATGCTGTTTACCAATTTGTCATAGAATTTTTCCTGGAAATTTATGACTGTATGTCAAGAAAAAAAAGTAAGTATAAGTTGTTTTAGATTTTCTATGCTCAAAATGTAAATGCTTTGGAATATGAATACACAAAAAGTTTTACTTTAGATGAACATTAAGTTTTCAGTTGACTATATTTTTGGTGTATTTCATGTGATAACTTTATGTTAATTGCTCTGAATATATCAGTTATAAACTATGAATGACCGTAATAGAAGTTGAGGTTTAACTGTAAAATCTTGTTTTATCTTGTTCTTAAAAAACGACACTAATGTGGTATTAACCTATTGACCTTGTAGAAATCTAGATAAATTCCTTTGATTGATTGGAATGAGTGACAAAAACTGTTTACCCTAGTCATATAAATTTTCTGCAATTACTATCTCACAGCCAATTGATAAAACATTAAACTTCTATTGTAATCCTTTCAGGTGCCTCTGAAGCATATGAGATGCGAGAAAATGACAGTCTTGCAAAACAAGATACAAAGCAAGATTCTGTAAGTTTATAACATTTTCCTTCAGTTATATGAAACTGGATCACCAGGATAAGAAATCATTGAATTTTATAAGCATTTCACTATTTCTGTTTCTCAGGTCCATGTTTTCTTTTTCAAGTACGTTTAACCTGGGGAAAAAAGACAATGAATGAAAGGAGAATTATATTATGCATGATATGTGCTAAGATTACTCTGAATTTACTCTAATCTGTCTCAATACGTAATATACACTGGGAGTAGAATTCATCATTCTCAGTTAATGGTTTAAAGGCTATCAGAAAACATTATCTATACAGGGATAGATGTCCCATGCACCATTAAGTAAGTAAGACATTATTCACTTAAACATATTGGCTGACTATATCTTTTTCTTAAATGATAGTTTAAATTAAGGATGTCAACGAGTACTCGAGTACTCGAGGATCGCTCAGTAGTACCGAGTATCGAATACCAAAATGATACTCGAATAATCGTTTTTTTTTTTTTTTGGTTAGAATGTTGTTGCCTTCTTAAAGAACTTTTTTTTTATTAAGAGCGCCTCCCGGGAAATTAAATATCAATCAAAATAATAATACGCTTCGAATGTTTGCGTTTAATTGTCATTTAAAATTCCCTCATGCGCTATGAACAAGAGCACCTTTCCAAGGCCTGCACCTTTAGCTAATCATGTCCTAGTCATTCTACCAAGGTGACCTCTGTACCGCCAGAGCAAATATTTTCATCAGCAGGACTGTTAGTTAAGTAAACAAGGTGGAAAAATTGAATTGTCCCAGAAAAAGTTGACAAGATAATATTTCTAAATAAGAACAAATTCGTTGCCCCCTGTGTCGACCCTCAGAGAATGGGTAAAGTCCTAATCATCACCGCTTTGTTGATCATAAATATGTTTCTTTACGATTCCCAAATACTGTTGTTTTAGTAATCAATTTTCTATAGATATTTATTAATAAATTGATTAGATTATTGCCTGTTTACATAATTAGTACATGTAGTAAATGAGCTATTAATTATGGTATAAAATTCCTGGGACTAATAGTCCAAGGTATTAATGTTGAAGGTTTTATGTCCATAAGACAACTCCCCACAATCCGTAAATTGGGTTTAATTTTGTGTTTCCATATTGTATATGTTTTTCCGAGCGAGTACTCAAGTATCGCTCGGTAAATCCAAAGAGTACTCGATTAGTAAATCTTCACCGAGTTGACATCCCTAGTTTGAATGTTAACTTGGAAGCTTTTTCATTTTATAGATTTGGAACCATGATTGCGGTTATCAGATGTTTATAATTGTGTTGTACAACACAAGTCTGTGTCCACACTTTTAGTGTTGTACCAAATAACTGTAATTAAAAATTGTTTTTTTAACTTTTTCAGCAGTACAATGTCAAGAAGATTATACTTGGAATCCACATTACCATAATCTGTCTGTTTACCATAGCCCTGGTCATACTGGTTTCTATGGATCTCTCTATGTATATCTAATGGTCCGTATAAACAGTAGAAGAAAATGTAGATTATAGATATACTTTTATCATTAGGAGTATTTTACCTATGTTTGAACTCACTACATGTTAAGTTGCAATTATACAAAAAAAAAATTCTTTTAGAAATGTTCTCAAGTACTCATACTTATACATTATATTTTCATAGTCTTTAAATGAACTGCTACTGGGAAAAACAAAATTGTGGTAAATATTTATTTTTTTACAATTGTTTTCTTTAGAGTTTTTACTCACCATTGCAAAGCCTGTGTGTGCTGACATTGTTTTGAACTGGTATCAATCAATGAGTTTCAGAATGATGTGGATAAGTTCCCTTGATTATAAGCTAAACAAGTTTTTGTCAAAACTTTATTTTATTTCAAAAGTTTAAACCTAAGTTGAAGAAAAATGTTTTTAGAGTTCCATCATCTAGATAAATAATATCATGGTGTACAAAATGTAAATTTGATAATTCAATAGTTGATGTTTCAAATAGATACACTTTAAGTATAAATTTTCTGAATGAAATTATATACAATAGACTACATTCCAGCTATCATTTATGCTCACCAAACTCCTGCAAGGCACCAAGCCGACCATGTAAGGGCTTTCTATCCAATCAAGGTTGTTAAACACTCCCATAGTACCAGTTATCATCATCTGATGTTATACAGTGTAAGTAACTTAAATTACATCTTGTGGAATCAAGCACTTTACAAGAATGTATTAGTTTGTAATTTGACTGATAAGCACATGTTGTTTTTATGAGGTTTTTTTTATCTCTACATTTTTTAAGAGTTTGCATGTAGTTTTGATTATATTTAATATGTTTTTTAAATGTTGTTCTTTATAGAGACAACTTTGGGCATACATGAAAGTGTACATCCTGTAGCAAAACTTGTACAAAATACTGCTGGTTTTAAATTGTATGACCTTATATGAAATGCAGGCTTGGTTTCAGTTTAAGGTAATAGATAACCTATGTACTATTTTGAGAAAATACTACTGGTTTTAAATTGTATGACCTTATATGAAATGCAGGCTTGGTTTCAGTTTAAGGTAATAGATAACCTATGTACTATTTTGAGAAAATACTACTGGTTTTAAATTGTATGACCTTATATGAAATGCAGGCTTGGTTTCAGTTTAAGGTAATAGATAACCTATGTAATATTTTGAGCAAGGAAGAACTAGGGAAAGAAACAGTAAGATTTATGGTTGAAATATTCCATATATTTTTCCTTACTTAAAGGGACTATATATAAAAACTCAAGAAGATATTTTGTGTTGAAGATTTTATTTTTATAAAAGCTTAATATTGGTGAAAGGGAAATTAGATCTGTGTACGCCAAAGGTGCTGGTCACCAGTGTTTTGTTATATATATATGGGTTTTACATGTTATTTACTTTTTTATCCATACTTTTAATATTAATACAAAGTTATACAACAATATATTTTATATTATTTTTGGAAAAAATCCTTTTGAGTCCCTCTGTTAATGAAATAAGCATGCATATACATGAAGGGGGTTGTATAGAAAGTGCTGATTGATTTTATACATGTCTTACAGCTTTTTTAACATAATTATATTAAGTGTTACCCTTGTCTGTCCATATGTACGTACGTCCATACCTATGTACGTCCCAAAATTGGTTTCTGTTCTCTAACTTTAGTTTGCATCAACCAAATGTTATGAAACTTATACACAATGCTTATTACCATAAATCACAGATCAAGATCGAATTTGGGTGGCAACACTTTTACAGTTCTCTAGTTATGTCCCTTTCAAACGTTATATGCCAGCGGGGGCATCATCTGTGTCCCATGGACACATATCCATTTATTATTTAATAGTTTACTGTATTGTATCTGTAGAAATCTAAAATATATATTGATGTTCTAATTAAATTTTATAGTATATAAATATATTTTGTCCAGCACTGATGAAAGGATATAGATGTAGTGTTCATTCTTCTGTCCATGCCTTTATCTTTCTATATATAATATCACCTTAGGTTCTTAGATGAATTAAAAAAATTACCAAACAAAATAATATTTCAGACAACTTGTCACAAGTGGAAAAAGACATGAACTGATTTGGTCTTCAATTACACAATTTCACTTGTGTTTTTAAATTAATCTTTTTTCCATACTAATATAAAAGAATGTCAATAAATTTTCACATTTTTTTTCCCTTTTGGGGTGTAGTACTTGGTCTTAAAAGTGAATTTTAAAAGGTAAGTCTTTGGATTGAACCCACTACCTCTCGCACTCTAGGCCAGCAGACTTTCTCCAGACCACCAAGGCAGTTACTGCTTTACAAGTAACAAGATGTTTCACATAAAATGAAATCCTTTTGTTCAAACAATTTACCAGACTTATTGCTCTGTTTTTACTTTATCATATATAAATGAAATCTGATGTTTGTAGCCTCTAAGTAGTTTTGAAACAGAAAACTGTAAAACTCTTTTGAATGTTTTTATTTTTTATGCATAAGATGATGAATTCACATTTATTTTGTAACAGCAATTTATGTCGAAAGTTTGTATCCCAGATAACCACAAAAAACAGTCTTTTTTGTGTGTAGATTTTTTAAATTAAATGAATTAAAAATAAAAGTGTTACTGTGCATATTTCTGGGATAACTTTTTGTGGATACTGTTGGTAGATGAAACAATGTAACTAGGTACCGGTGATACATAAGTATGGTAGTTGATTATTATTGTGAAAATATGTATATTTTTGGCAAAAAAATACAGACCTTTTTTCTTAATTGTTGATGGATTCTCAGTTAAAGGTGAACTATACAGTTGTTTTATATTAAGGTTTTATCTATTTCTAAATTGTATTTTGGGAAATAAACTTTCTGTTTATTCAATTTATTTTAAGAAGTAGGATTATAGTGATTGCAACAACCAATGAAATATATGCATGGCCATATGATCCTTGTGGCTTGATAGTTCTTAATGATCCTAACCAATGAAATATATGCATGGCCATATGATCCTTGTGACTTGATAGTTCTTAATGATCCTAACCAATGAAATATATGATGAACATATGATCCTTGTGCCTTGATAGATCCTAATGATCCTAACCAATGAAATATATGCATGGCCATATGATCCTTGTGGCTTGATAGATCCTAATGATCCTAACCAATGAAATATATGCATGGTCATATGATCCTTGTGGCTTGATAGATCCTAATGATCCTAACTGCATTTTAGTAATTCAAGTCAGTTTATGACGTGATGAATGCCAAGTGATTGCAGTAACCCTAATTTACAAGGAGGACTTTTCTTTCACCTTTCTCCTCTCCGTGTTAATTCAATCTTGCTTTCTCATTGTATTGTATACACTTATACGCCATCACGAGTTGGTTGACCGTTATGGAATAAGCGTTTCACAGATGATATCGAATATGTTCCTTATGTCGTAACTACAATACCCTTCCCTTTTCACCTACTGAATTAGACTATTTACCGGATTTGTAATAACATAAGCAACATGACGGATGCCACATGTGGAGCAGGATCTGCTTACCCTTCCGGAGCACCTGAGATCACCCCCAATTTTTGGTGGGGTTCGTGTTGCTTAGTCTTTAGTTTTCTATGTTGTGTCATCTGTACTATTATTTGTCTGTTTGTCTTTTTATTTTTGGCCATGGCGTTGTCAGTTTGTTTTCGATCTGTGAGTTTGACTGTCCCTCTGGTATCTTTCGTCCCTCTTTTATATTCATTTGTATCTTAGTTCTTTGGGTTTTTTTTAATGTTTAATTGAAATGTGTCATTTTTTGTATGTTAATGTCCTAGTGATCCAACTCTTCATTGATAGACCATACTGACATATTTCAGTTATGTTGCCCCCTCTTTATATTGGAGTCAATCTTTAGTTAACCACAAGATGCCAGTAAGAAATCTAATACAAGCCCTGAGACAACAACAATGAAGACTATGAACTATTCATCTAGATTCAAATCACAAACCCTTTCCTCTGCACTAAAGTGGGCTTCCAAATTTCAATCATATTCTCCAATTATCCTTGAGAGACCACATAGACTACCTTAATGGCAATGATTGCTGTTGATAACAAAGGTATGAAGTTTACATCTTTATTAATCAAAATCAAATATCTATAATTTGGCACTTGGGAGTCAGATTCTCAGCTGTGGGAAATTAAGCTCCAGGCCCTGTCGACAACCTTGGTGAAAACCAAATGGCCATGGACAGGACACTCCGTCAACCGGAAGGATGTTCCTAAGAGATGATGAAGCGATGCATCATCTCGCAGCAGGAGGCTACGATAAGAGGGGGTTGAATTGATGGTGGAGAAAGAACTATATGAATTTAATTACTTGGGGACATGAGAAATTAGACCAGTGGTCAATTTCCCTTGAGCTGACAAAGAAAACCACTGGTTTGATAAGGCTGCTCCCACACGTCAGAACAGAAGTTGAAGGTGTTTGATGGGGATGGTGGGTGGGTAAATTTAAAGTTTCAGCATTAGCAATACAAAACTATGACCTTTGCTATCAACAGCTAAACATAAACTGATGGAGTTCCCCAGCAGCCTGGGGAAATATGAGAAAGGTAGAACTACAGCTTATCTCTTAACCAAATAAGGACAGCACACAAGTGCCTGAAGAAAAGGAACACCTCTACACATAGATAATCTCTTGAATAAACAATGCTTGTATACATTATAAGCTTTTAATAAACACAACATTTTTTCCATTGACTGGATGTTAAAAAAAAGTTTCATTGTAAGATTCTTTCAAGTACCAAGCTGTTATGATAGCTGATAGACACAGTAGTCACAGTAGTCAACTTTTTGATATTGGTATCATATTCCAGGTAATCAATACAGGCTCCTTGAAGTGTGAATTTTTCTTATTGACTGAGTTCAAAGAATTGCAAAGCTCATAGTATGGTGATGTAGGGCGTGAGTGGGTACTTATTTGGATAGTCAACTTCTACAGTTTTTCAACCCAGATCAAGAAAAATGTGCACACCAATTTAAGTTTTGCATCTGCTATATTGGTTTTGTTTTTAAAAGAGGCTTAAGATACCAAAGGGAGAATCAGAGCTTACAAGTCTAAGAGAGGCAGACAAAATCATGACAAAAATCGAAAAAAAGAACAACTCAAAATAACAAACAAGAGTCTACAAAAAACTGCATAAAAAACTAAAGACTGAGCACATGAACTCTACCAAAAACTAAAATCTCAGGTGCTTCGGAAGGGTAAGCAGATACTGCTCCACATTTGGCACCCATTGTGTTGCTCACAATTAAGCAAAAGAGAAAAGGATGATAGCTATGATAATTGGAACATAGAGTCCACAATAGTCAAACAACTTATGATGGTGCCCGTAAAACTTTCAAAGTGATGACTTAGACTATCTCTAGTGTCCCTTTCTTCAATGGCTTCCTTGTAAATATGAACCCTTTATCAAGAAAATCATGATAGAAAACGCATGCACTTGAATATTGTATCAAATAGACACATACAGGCATGGTTCATTAGTCAATGTTAAGTTTTCATGGTTATGTCTCGGTTTCTCAGATACTATAAGCAATAGGTCAACTATGTTTTGTGTATGGAATGATTGCATAATGTTCATGTTGTCTGATAGGGTTCATCTGACCTTGACCTTATTTTTATGGTTCATTAGTCCATGTTAAAGTTTCGTAATTGGGTCTGTTTCTCAAATACTATAAATAATAGGCTTATTATATTTGGGGTATGGTATGATTGTAAGGAGTACATGTCTTTCTGGCTGTGTTCATCTGACCTTGATCTTATTTACCTGGATCATTGATATAATGTAAAGTTTACGTGAAACCTGGGACTGTCAATATATTATGTCCCAGATGAAACTTGAAGTAAAAGCTTCATATAACAGACTTTCGTGATAAATTCAATTATGATAAGAAAAGCAGACATTTTAACGTGTGAATTCTTGTTTTCCATAGGAAAGCCAATTGTTTGTTGAAAAACCTGTGCTCCACAACAACATCTTGATGATGTTAGTTTCCGATAGATATTTTTGTTTGAAATCCGAGTGGGCATTTTTAATCAAAAGTAAGATTTATCCCTTTCTAAACCAGATATTTGTATCTACGTGTGTCATTCTTTTTTGTGAAATAACGGTTGTATGAATTATTTCTATCTATTCCGAATGAGTAACTCTAGTGTAAAGGATAGGGAAGTTAAACTATCGTATAGTATAACAAGAGGAAAGCGACTTAGATGGTACGTATTCTAACAAATCTTCAAAGATTTTTAGTATCTCGATTTGATTCACAATGCCCTTAGAGTATATGGTTCACAGTAACTTTAAAGCCCGGCTTTGCTTGCTTAAACAAATGTTACTAATTTGGATCGAGGCTTCGTGGAGCATTTGGCAGACCCAGCAATATAAAGTTGTTTGTAAGGACAATTTATATGCAATTATGGTATCCAGTACATTGAAATTGGCAATATCTTATTCCTTAATCAAACAGTTGTTTATGTATAAGTGTAACAGTAAATTTGGTCCGGTAGTAAAATTTGTCCGCCAGACTTTTTTTCCTAGTTAATCAAGTCCATGACCATTATTTTACTAGGAATTTAAGTCCCAGGACAAATTTTCCTAGGAAAATAAGTCCATAGCTAGTAAAATATGTCTGGCACTTATTTTCCTAGGAAAAATTGTCCCAAGACATGTTTTTCAGGTAATTTTTATTATATTTTAAAAATTATTGAAAATAAAAAAAACATTTTCTTAGTTAAGATTGGAAAGTTTCATTAATTTTTCCTATTAAAATAAAAGGACATTGCCGGACGTTATAACCTAGGCATGTTAATGACATGGACATGATGTCCTAAGAAAATTAGTCTGGGAACATAAATTTTATCAAAATATTAATACACAACTCTTAAACAATATTAAAACATAACATTTAAATTTAACTTTCAAAATAAAGGGAATGGACGTTTTCACCTAGGAATATTAATGACATGGACATGATTTCCTAGGAAAATTAGTCTGGGGACATGAATTTTATTAAAATATTAATGCACAACTCTTAAACAATATTAAAACATAAAAATTGAATTTCCATTGTTAACATGTAAATAATTTGTTTCATTAAAATTTTCCTTTTAAAATAAATGGCATGGACGTTTTTACCTAGGAATATTAATGACATGGACATGATTTCCTAGGAAAATTAGTCTGGGGACAAACATTATATTAAGAAAATTGATACACAACTCTTAAACAATATTAAAACATAACATTTATATTTACCTTTTAAAATAATATTAAAACTTAATATTTAAATTTCCAATATTGTTTAAATGTAAATGATTTGATTCATTAATATTTTTTCCTATAAAAAAAGGACATGGATGTTTTTACCTAGGAATATTGATGACATGGACTTGAATTCCTAGGAAAATTAGTCTGGGGACATAAATTACTAACATCGGACTAAAAATACTAGTAAATTCTGTAACCTTGGACTTTTTATACTAGTAATATGTGTCCGCCCGGACATATTTTACCAGGACAAATTTATCTCTTACATAAGAACAAGGATGTTCTGGGCTTTGTCTGCGGGGACAACAAAATACTTGTAATGGGTCTTTGAAGTTGAATGTAGCATGAGTGTTCTTGGACCGATTAAGGTTTTTAATTCTCATTTGTATCAACGACTTTAACAAGTAAGATAGAGTATCTATCTCTTTTTTCATATGTATCATACTGCCTGGCAAATTGAAAGATTGTTTCCCATTTTTTTAAATTTTATATTATCATATATTCAACTTGAATGGTCGTTATAGACCATACTCCATTGTTTAAAAAACACTGCACAACCCTTCATTGAACAATCA